AGGCAGGGCCCAGTTGCCAAGGGAACCTCTCTCCATCCTGTCCTTTTTATTGAGAAAGAACAAATCCGTGGCCAGTTGATGCATTCACAACATCAGGTTTTATCCTTCTTTCGCAAAGATCTGTATCAGAGGCAGTCAATACCTTGTTGTAATTGAAAGCAAACAGGGTTCAGATCAAAAGATTTATTAATTGTGGGCAACTTGCATTAGGGAAATAAATGAAACTCATCTTGTGAAGGTACTGGCGTTTTAAAAATTCTAAGAAAATGTTTTTGGGCGTGTGATTCTGCAACCCTGGAATTTAAATGTTTTACTTTTCTTCCCTCAGTTTCATTTTTCTACCTGGCCCTATAGGCAGGATTGATCAGTATGAGTTCGGCCACGGAGGTAAGTCCTGCTTTTCTTGATATTGTTAAATGCTGATTATTCTCTTTTCTTTCCAACTGCATTCATATAACCGCCTTTCCCAATCTTGGGCAGGGCCACATTGTATATGCAGCAAATGAAGCACTTTTTGAAGTGGGGTCAAGGTTGTAATATTTTAAAATTGACAATTGATTGGACCACGGGTGACAAACGGGAAGCTGGTTGCGAAGTGATAGTGTTACTGTGCTGGTAGTCCCCAGACTCTAACGTACAGGGGGCATTGGTTCGTAACATAGATGGTGAAATTTAAATTCAGTAAAAGTCTGAAATTAAAAGCCAGCACAGTGGTTATGAAACTGCAGCCAGTTATCATAAAAACCCATCTGGTTCGGTAATGTCCTTCAGGGGAGTGAATCCTCCATCCTTACATGGTCTGGCCTACATGTGACTCCAGACTCTCGGCAACTTTGGTTGATTCTAGCTGCTCTCTGAAATGTCTTAGCACGGCATTCAGTCGAAGGGTAATTTGGGTGAGCAATTATTGCTCATTTCTAGACTCTCACATCCTAAGAACTAACTTAGAAGAAAATTTGGACAGATGGGTAAATGAGGGATATCTTGGTGCGAGATGCTTCTTGTGGTGAGGAGATAGTGTTAACAAGTCCTTCAGAGTGGGGGACAGTGTGGAATAGAGTAGAGAGATGCTATCCCCAGTGTAGGGCTAAGGTTTATTGTCTACGCTCTGGGAGTGTGTGACCCAGCAACACTGAACGAACAGAAAATGGCTTAATGGGGAACTTGTAGGGGGGCAGTGTTCCCATGTATCTGCTGCCCTTGTCCTGCTAGATGGAAATGGTCGTGGGTTTGGAAGGTGCTGTCTGAGGATCTTGTAGATGGTACACACTGCTGCTACTGAGCATCAAAGGTGGAGGGAATGGATGTTTGTGGATGTGGTGCTAATCAAGCGAGGGCATGAGTGTTGTTGGAGCTGCACTCATCCAGGCAAGTGGGGAGTGTTCCATCACACTCTTGACTTGTGCCTTGTCGATGGTGGACGGGCTTTGGGGAGTCAGAGGTGAGTTACTTGCTGCAGTATTCCTGGTCTCTGACCTGTTTTTATAGCCACTGCATTTATGTAACAAATTCAGTTGAGTTCTTGGTCAACGGTAACCTCAAGAATGTTGATCGTGGGGGATTCAGTGATAATAACACCATTGAATGTCAAGGGGCAGTGGTTAGATTGTCTCTTATTGGAGGCGATCATTGCCTGGCATTTGTGTGGCACAAATGTTAGTGATAATACCACAAGGTCATCGCCTCCAAATGACCAGGTAATCTCATTACATGATGCGTATTGAGGGAAAAGGTAATGGCTGGGACGATGGGGAGACCTCCCAGTTCCTCTTCTGAAATAGCACATAGGGGAGGCGGTGACCTAGTGGTATTATTGCTAGACTACTAATCCAGAGACCCCAGGTAACGTTCTGGGAACCTGGGCTCAAATCCCGCCACGGTGGAATTAAAATTCAATAATAATCTGGAAATAAGAGTCTAAATGATGCCCATGAAACCATGGTCAGCTGTCAGGAAAAACCCATCTGGTTCACTAATGTCCTGCAGGGAAGGAAACTACCATCCTTACCTGGTCTGGTCTACATGTGACTCCAGACCCACAACCAATGTGGTTGACTCTGAACTGCCCTCTGAGCAAGTAGGGATTGGCAATGATGGTCTAGCCAAGTGATGCCCACATCCCATGAATGAGTAAAAAGAAACTGGGATGCTTTGCATCCACCTAAGAGGGAACTCAGATCTCACACTTAATGTCTCATCTGAAGGAAGACAGGCTTGAAAATATCCCCTTTAAGCTGCAGTTCTGCTTACACACCAACGCATTGATGTCCGTACGCACGAGAAGGATTAGAGATTAGAATGTTGACGGGCACTAGCCCACGGGCCATATCTCAGTGGCATTAGGAGGAACAAACAATGAATGGAGCCTATAGTGACACCTGTCTGTGCTGTCTTTCTAGAACCAGACAAGGGGAGTGAAGAGGATTCAAGAATTCCTCGCTGATTTGGTGGTACTGGGGTCGCTGCAGGTAAGGGGGATGGGGACCGAGGACTCTGTATGGCATCTTTCAGGACTTCCAGAAACACTTTGTGAAGGAAGCACTGTTGTGTTAGCAATTAGACCCTGTTGTCAAGTTGAATGGGAGCACATGGGAAGTTGGAGCTGGAGCAGGCCTCACTGTGTCCACTCCAACATCACCGATGTTCAGTAAGGTCACAGCTGATCTGAGCTCAGAGACGTAGGAGCACACAGAGTAAGATCCCACAAACGATCATAGGGTAATAACATTATTGTCTGTCTTATTTAAGTGATGTTGATTGAGTGTTTAAATATTGGCCCAGGACACTGGAGAGAACTCCTCTTCTCCGAAATAACAGCAGTGAGATCTTCTGTGTCCACTCTGAGAGGGCGGCTGGAGCCTTGGTTTAGTATTTGTGAGACAGTCCCTGTGACCGTGCAGCACTCCCTCAGTGACTACGATGTGGAGTGCAGGCGTGGACTTTGTCCTCAGATCTCTGGTGCGGGGACCAGACCCTCTCACCCTCCAGCTCCTCCCAAGGTGAGCCTGCTGTGGCTCAGTTAGCACTGCTGCCTCACAGTGCCAGGGACCCAGTGTCGATTCCACCCTCGGGCGGCTGTCTGTGTGGAGTTTGCACATTCTCCCTGTGTCTGCGTGGGTTTCCTCCGGTGCTCTGGTTTCCTCCCACAGTCCAAAGGTGTGCAGGTTAGGGAGGACTGGCCGTGCTAAATTACCCCATAGTGCCCAGGGATGTGTAGGTTAGGGTGGATTGGCCATGCTAAGTTACCCCATGGTGCCCAGGGATGTGCAGGTTAGGGTGGATTGGCCATGCTAAATTACCCCATGGTGCCCAGGGATGTGCAAGTTAGGGTGGATTGGCCGTGCTAAATTACCCCATGGTGCCCAGGGATGTGCAGGTTAGGGTGGATTGGCCATGCTAAATTACCCCGTAGTGCCCAGGGATGTGCAGGTTAGGGTGGATTGGCCGTGCTAAATTACCCCATGGTGCCCAGGGATGTGCGGGTTAGGGTGGATTAGCCATGCTAAATTACCCCGTAGTGCCCAGGGATGTGCAGGTTAGGGAGCCTACAGCCCGATGGCCTAAACATAGAATTCACCAGCTTCAAAATCTCCCCACCCTGCCCCTGGCCTCATCCCGTGTCCAATCCTCCCTCTCATCCCTGCCTTCTTGACCTAACACAACGTGTCCATCTTCTTCCCCACCTATCCGCCCCACTCTTCCCACTGACCAATACCCAGTACCCCCTACCTGCATCTGTCTATCACCAGCCTACCTACCTTCCCCCAGCCCCATCCCTCTTCCTTCTATTTATTTCCCAGCTCCCATCCCCCTCCCCAGTCCCAATGAAGGGTCTAGGCCCAAAACGTTGACTTTCCTGCTCCTCTAACACTGCCTGACCTGTGTTCCTCCAGCTCCACACTGTGTTGACTCTGACTCCAGCATCTGCAGTTCTTGTTATATGCAGGCTAGATGGGTTGGCCGTGCTAAATGCGCGGTTATGGGGAGAGGATGGGATGCTGTTCAGAGGGTCGGTGTGGACTTGATGGGCCAAATGGTCTCTTTCTGCACTTTAGGGATTCTGTGAAACGACCTATTCCGCAGATGGAGGTTTGAATGTTGCAGGAGATCACACTTCTGGGTATCAATTCCGTTTTACTCTCCTCCCTTCCTCAGGGTTTCCGATACTTCCAGCCCTGGTTGCGGGGTCGTGAGGAGTTGCTGCTGACCGTGGTGAATGAGGATTCCGTAAGTGTCGTCCTGAGCCCCCTCGGCCCCTCCGTATAAATCCTGGATTTGTCTGAGCTTTAGGGATGGTTTCCTGGAGAGAAAGGTGAAGTTGGGGGTTGAGAGGTGACCTTAGAAGTTATAAAATCATGAGGGGTATAGATAAGGTGAATGGCAGGTGCCTTTTCTCTCGGGTGGGGGATTTCAAAACTAGGGAGCACATTGTTAGGAGAGAGATTTGGAAAAGACACAAGGGACAAATTTTTTACACAGAGCGTGGTTTGTGTGTAAAAATGAACTTCCTGAGGAGGTGGTGGATGTGAGTTTAAAAGACATTTGGATAAGTACATGAATAGGAAAGGTTTGGAGGGATACAGGCCAGGAGAAGGCAGGTGGGACTTGTTTATTTTGGGATTATTTTCAGCACGGACTGGTTGGGCGGAAGGATCTGTTTCTGTGCTGTATGAGTCTATGACTCTATTAAAGACCCTACAAAGCAGTTCACTTGCTGTTCTGTACTAGCCTCAGTAGCATTGAGTGATGTGAGTGTCGGTGTCTGGGTCAGCATTTAATTGCCCATCCCTAATTGCCCCCTTGAGAAGGTGGGGGTGAGCTGTCTTCATGACCTGCTGCAGTCCACCTGCTATGGGTTGACCCACAATACCATTAGGGAGGGAGTTGCAGGATTTTGACCCGGTGACAGGGAAGGAACAGCCGATATATTTCCAAGTCAGGATGGGGAGTGACTCAGCGGGGGACTTGCAGGGGGTGGTGTTCCCATGTACCTGCTGCCTTTGTCCTTCTGGATGGAAGTGGCCGTGGGTTTGGAAGATGCTGCCTGAGGATGTTTGGTGAATTTCTGCAGTTCCCTGTTGGATGTTCTATGGCAATACCTCAATCACTCAGCGCCCTTTACTCAAATCACACAAATTGTTGTTCCTTTCAGAGTTGAGCGTTTTTGCATTTGTCCTGAAGAGTTAAAGGCAGAAAGCTTAAAAGCAGAGCTCTCTCTTTCCCTGCAGTACGCTGTATGTTGATTCAGTACATGCAAAATGGGCAGAAATCAAGAATCAAAATATCTGTCTCTTTCCTTTCCCATCTCTCCAGAGCTGGCGATCGGCTAGTTTTCCTGGGAGTCTGGTGAATTCTTCCAGCGAGGGTATTGGAGTAGCCGAGTTGCCCTATGCTGACCAATCTCTGCTGACATCACTTCCATCACAGAAGAGGTAAAGCAATCCTGATTTACCAGGACGTTGCTGCAAATGGAGGGTTTGGGTTATAAGGAGAGGCTGGAAAGGCTGCGATTTTTTTCACTGGAGCATAGGAGGTTGAGGGGTGACCTTATAGAGATTTATAAAATAACGAAGGGTTTAGATAAGGTGAATGGCAGCTGTCTTTTCCCTAGAGTGTGAGATTTCAAGATGAGGGGGCACGTTTTTAAGGTGGGAGGAGAAAGATTTAAGAAAGACGTGAGGAGCAGTTTTTTTACACAGAAGGTGGTTTGCGTGTGAAACGAACTTCCAGAGGAAGTGGTGAATGTGGGTACAGTTACAACATTTAAAAGACATTTGGATAAATACATGAATAGGAAAGGTTTGGAGGGATATGGCCACGTACAGGCAGGTGGCACTTGTTTAGTTTGGGATTATGTTCGGCATGGACTGGTTGGACAGAAGGGTCTGTTTCCATGCTGTATGAGTCTGTGACTCACTCCGATCCACCCAGCACATGTCAATGGTCACACTCACTGGTAGGCACCAGGCAAACTCAACAGAGAGCTCCAGATCAATGGGAACAGTTGGCAAAGGTGCTGGGTAAATGACAAATCAGGAACAGGAATAGCTTGGGACGTGCAGCATTGGGAGTACTGGTCGCCGTTTTTTATATCAGAGAGTAGTAAGGGCGTGGAATGCCCTGCCTGCAAAAGTAGTAGACTCGCCAACTTTAAGGGCATTTAAATGGTCATTGGATAAACATATGGATGATAATGGAATAGTGTAGATTAGATGGGCTTCAGATTGGTTTCACAGGTCGGCGCAACATCGAGGGCCGAAGGGCCTGTATTGCGCTGTAATGTTCTATGTTCTATGTTCTAATCCAACTGGAGCTCAGCCTTTTACCTTCCTGGATATTGCTGGACCTGCCCCGCCAATATGATGAAATCCCAGGATTTCCCCATTACTTCCTGATTCACCTGTGTAGTCCTGCAGGGTGAACGAGGGAAAACCTGTTACGTTTCTATCTGAATTCCGGCATTCCCCATCCTGCCCCTACCCCCTCACAGGAGCATCCAAATACAGAAACAAGCTCATTTCTCCCAGGCCCTCACAGTACAGCTCTCAATTACATACAAAAAGAGCTACATTATACCCAACCTTATCCACTGTCCTTCCCTTGTGTCACCTTTTCATCTCCTACGTTTGGGTTAGGACGCTGTATTGAGGTAGGCAAAGAATTTTCCCATGGCAGATGGGTTAGATAGTGACAATGTGACTGAGCTCATAACAGAGACACAGAGTTGTACAGAACAGAAACAGACCCTTCAGTCCAACTCGTCCACACCGACCAGATTTCCCAAATTAATCTAGTCCCATTTGCCAGCAGTTGGCCCATATCCCTCTAAACCCTTCCTATTCATGTACCCATCCAGGTGCCTTTTAAATGTTGTAATTGTACCAGCCTCCACCACTTCCTCTGGCAGCTCGTTCCATACACCCACCACCCTCTGTGTGGAAAAAGTTGCCCCTCAGGTCACTTTTAAATCTTTCCCTTCTCACCTTAAACCTATGCCCCTCTAGTTTTGGACTCCCCTATTCTGGGAAAAAGATCTTGGCTATTCACCCTATCCATGCCCCTCATGATTTTATAAACCTCTATAAGGTCACCCCTCAGCCCCTGACACTCCAGGGAAAATAGCCCCAGCCTATTCAGCCTCTCCCTATAGCTCAAACCCTCCAACCCGGGCAACATCCTTGTACATCTTTTCTGAACCCTTTCAAGATTCACAATATCCTTCCTAAAGCAAGGAGACCAGAATTGAACCCACTATTCCAAAAGTGGTCTAACCAATATCCTGTAGAGCCGCAACATAACCTCCCAACCCCTATACTCAATGTACTGACCAATAAAAGCAAGCGTACCAAACACCTCCTTCACTACCCTGGCTACCTGTGACTCCACTTTCAAAGAACTATGAACCTGCACTCCAAGGTCTCTTTGTTCGGCACCACCAGCAAAAAAAATTTGGAAGCTGGAAATCAGAAACAAAAACAGAAATTTCTGGGGAAACTCACAGGTCTGGCGGCATCTGCGGAGAGAAAATAGAGTTAACGTTGCAGGTCCAGTGACTCTTCTTCAGAATTGAAATAGCTGGGAAACGTTGGTATTTCTGCTGATGGTGGGGTGGTAGAGAGGGCAATTGGTGAATAGAGTACACAGAGATAATGCCAGAGAGAGAAAGAGAGAAAAGGGATAGGCAAACAAAGAGGTTGCTGCTGGCAAGCCAAGGGAGCGATAACTGCTGGGTGGAGTGCTAACACGAAGGGGTTTGACAAGTTAACACTGAGCAATTGTTTCCACTGGTTGAGGAGTCTAAAAAAATGAGGGTTAACAAGGGGTCAATCGTTTGGAGCTGAGATGAGGAGAAATGCCTTCTAAGTGTTGTAAATCTTCAGGATTCCCAAGGCAGAAAGTTATGGATATCCCATCAGGCTGCGATAAATATACATTTGGTGTCTCAAGGAATCAAGAGAAGTTGGCAAGTTGAAACCCAAGATCAAATTTAATGGCAGAACAGGCTCAATGGACTGAGTGTTCTACTCCTGCTTGTCTGCCTTGTGTTTAGATGTTCTTCCTTCACTCCGTCCATCCTCCTATCAATGATTTCTTTTCCTTTCTTCCTCAGAATGAGCAGCTGTGGGCATACCGATGTAGGACTGCCTCCAGCATCTCCCTGTGATCGGGAAATTGCACTCCCAGTGAGTAATTGGAAACTGTGTCTGTGCTGCAAATGCAGCAGATTTCTTTTGTGATAGTAGGAACTGCCGATGCTGGAGAATCTGAGATAACAAGGTGTAGAGCTGGATGAACACAGCAGGCCAAGCAGCATCAGAGGAGCAGGAAAGCTGACGTTTCAGGTCTGGATCCTTCTTCAGAAATCATCCAGCTCTACGTCTTGTTATCTCAGATTTCTTTTGTGTTTGTTTCTCCCTTTAATCACGCACTGTGCGTGTGTGTCTGTGTGTGTGTGCACGTGCACATGTGAGTGTGTGTCAGTGTGTGAATGTCTGTGAGTGTATGAGAGAGAGTGCATGTTTGTGTGTGTGTGTAAGAGACTGTATATATGTGTGTGTGTGTGAGAGAGTGTGTGTATGTGTGTGTGAAAGAGAGAGTGTCTGTGTGTGAGTGAGAATGTGTGTCTGTATTTGTATGAATGTGAGTGTGTGTGTGCATGCGCATGTGGGAGTGTGTCAGTGTGTGCATCTGTGTGTGAATGTCTGAATGTGTGTGTGTGAGAGAGAGCACGTGTGTGTGTGTGTGTGTGTGTGTGTGTGTGTGTGAGAGAGAGAGAAAGCGCGCACATGTATGTGTGTGAGAGTGTATGTCTGTGTGTATGTGTGTGTGTCTGTGTGTATGTGTGTGTGTGTGTGTGTGTGTGAGAGAGAATGTGTGTATGTGTGA